AATATTTTTACATGTTCGGGTTAACATCAGGTAATAATAATATTGTATCAAAGGTTACGTTTCTGTTCAGAAATTTCTAAGTTGTCACTGACCTACGTAACCCGTGCCCTTGGAGGGCAGCCCGATCAATACCACTGTGTCCTGTTCTCCTTACTTCTCCCCTTTTATTTCTATTAATAAATCCTGACACAGAGTCAGTCAGTAATATACTCGTACAACGGATCTGTTGTTGCACATCTAACGTGAATTATTGTCTTGCATTCATCACACCGAACTTTGTGTTCTCGAGAAGAAACACAATAGCAGCATTCAAGTAAAAGTTACAATTTGTTCATTTTACAATGTCTGCTGGGTATAGCGACCCTTTAACTATAAAGGTGAGGAGAGTACCACGTACAGGAATTGCGGTGACCTAGAGCCGGTGCCAGGGCCGCATGGCGGTACCACGGCGACGGAGACGTAAACAAGCGGCGGTCTGACGCATAGATTGAAGTATTGGCCCTCGGGGATACGCTGAACCTGGTGGGGCGATCGATACTCACTGTATGCGGTCGTGGCTGGACAGAGGCGGCACGGCTCCCGCTGGACACTGCACAACAGCGCACTGCTGGACTTGACGGTGTAATGTCAACAAACACCGGTCGGCCGATGCGGACGGAATGGGTCTGAGTTAGTTTTTCGTGGCTCGAGTACTGTTCTCACCGGGGGATGGTGACGAGAAGAAACGCGTTCGTCACCCAGGCGGGATTTCTCAGAAGCACGCTCTGTCTCGATTCGGTGTCGCGTGACGCTCGCTCAGTTCAGCCCATGAGGCTCTAACTGTGGCGCGTGGACGCGTGCGGCCTGCTGCGCTGGCCGAGTGCCACTGGCGAGTGGAGCGCTCCGCGGAGGTCGCCGGGCGGCGCCGCCACACGCGAGGTCTCGCGGAAGTCTCTCGTTGTGATTACTCACTTCAGCCTCCCTTGCACCGGTTTAACTTGTTCAACGGAACTACTTTGCTTAATCAAAATTACATTATGGTTCGTGGTCGCCGTACATAACATGGTTGATGCCTTTGAATATTATACCTACTAGGCACCTACATACATAACTTCGCCAGATGGACATATCTTCAATGTTTATGTTAGTATAATTTTATAAATTAATACACATATAAATGAATGTACATAGAAATAACTAGGGAGCGTTTACTAATACATTGAATACAGTATATCACTTGTGTAAATGCTAGCTATTACACATATTATAATATATTTTTATTTTTTCTAAAAAGGCAACACCTGCACTAGGAATATATCCTGCGTCGCGGGGGACTTTACAAATATACTTCAAACAGATACAAAGAAAGCCAGACTCAGAACAACAATTTGTAGATCACACAAAGTGCTGTCCCATGCGGGGATCGAATCCACAACACTCAGCGCAGTAAAAAGCGATATCGCGACCGCATAAACCACTACGTCGTCACAGTCAAATATATACATATGTGTAGGCTGCCGGATGCATGATGTGGTGAGTGTGTTTCTTATGCATATCAATGACATGCTGCAAACTACCTAGTAGCATCCATTGCTATGCAGACGATAGTACGGGAGATGTCCTTTATACCGGCCGTCCCAGTATTGCTCGGGAAAACGTCATCGAGAGTCGAAACAAACTTGTCTGAAATTGAAATTTCTCTACAGGGGTCGACTAAATCTAGTCCACTTTAACCCAAAACAGGCGCAGGTTTGCGCGTTCACCGCAAAGAAGACACCGTTTGTCGTATCACCACGCTTTGAGAGTACCTCCCTAACTACCTCGGCCAGTATCGTTTAAAATTTACGTCAGAAAGAAGGGACACGTTAATATCCATTGCACACAATAGCCTTTTTTTTTGTTGATGGGGTGGAAAATTCCTTCGGAACTCCAGCTCCTCCTGGACTCAGGAGCCAGAAGTATGTGGTGATTCCACTAAAAACCACCCTGACGGCCGGCCTCAGGTGCCCCACTCTGGAAGGACCCGGACCATGTTAGTTCAGGTCCTCCCCGAATTTTCACTATGCCAAATCAAGCCCTATCCCAGGGGAAAACACTTCCCACCCCCCTCAATCGCGACGTGCGTAATTGCGCCCAGTTGCGTATTGCAACCAAGCCGCCATCCTATCCCCTACCGCAGCAATCATAGTTGTTGTAATTACAGCACTATTTATTTGGTTACATCTAAATAAATCCGGTATTATTCCATTCGTCTTGTGTTTAATCTATCTCTTCCCTGCATGGCCACCCTGCCAGGAAGTACGTAAACGTAGTAAAATTTTTAGGTAAACTTATTCGTTTCTGTTTCACAAGATCTCCAATTAGAAGATATAATATTTTTATATATATCTGTTATACAATAGGCTATGCAGACGATCTGACTATCCTCATCAGTGGTCCTTTTGAGAGCGCTATATGCGATCAAATGAGACTCGCACAACTTGACGGTGAACCCATCGAAAACATAGATGATCATGTTCACAAACAAACGTAGTCTGTGAAATCTCAAACTTCTTAAACTATTTCAAACACTACTGACTCTTACTAGAGAGGTCAAATAACCAGGAGTAGAGCTGCCATCTCTAAAACCTGCCCCCAGGACCGGAAGCGTAAGTTCCCCGGAGTTAGGAGCTTTCTTCTCGGACATTTCCTTTCTTTTTTCATTCACTTATCTTGATTAAAATAAAATATATTTAACTCCGTTGATAGAAGAAAACTTTTATTTTAAGCCTCTTTTGTTGCATGAAATAGTGTGTTTAATAGTTCTTCGTGTTTAATCTAGACTACAAGTGAGTAATTATGCTTTATTTTTTAACCTTCTTAGGTATTAAATAAAAGATAAACAAACCCAATATTAGTTACTTAGTAAATAAAATTAAATGAAAACTTGTTTAACACGGGCAGCGCGAGCAGTGAGATACCCAACCCATAGCTTTTATTTACATAAATTATGGGAACGGGATCTGATCGAAAACCCGGACTTACCCGGACTACAATTTAAACCCCGTCCGGACGCTCCCCGGACGTCTTCCAAACTAGGACAAATCCGGGGAAACCCGGACGGATGGCAGCTCTACCTAGGAGTTATACTAGACAGTAAACTCTTGTGGAATAGGCACCTCGAAGAGAAACTAAACAAAGCCTGCATCGTCTTCTGCCAACGGCTACTCGGCAAATGCTGGGGACTTACACCAAAGATTACACTATGGCTCTACAAATCAGTCCTACGACCAATAATCACGTACGGTGCCGTTGTCTGGGGGCAGCGGCGAGTCCAGCAGAATGTGGAAATCAGCCACTGCAAGGCGCTGCCCCGGTGGCCGGTAGAACGCGAACACACGGGTGAGCTGGCATCCGATGCAGACCTCTACGCCCAGGGCGTACGCAGATTTCAATATCGGTACTGGTAGCGCTTGGTGGACGACTTTCCTGTTGACCAGGATTGCTAATCCCCTGTAAGCAGTCCCTCCTACAGCGCAGTCCCTGCAGCGACACCGGGCTTGCACTCGCATCGGGAGCTCGTCCATTGGGGTGCGACTGAGAGAGAGCGTCGTAGCGTAGTATATGCGTGTGACAGAGATAAATATATTTATAAATCAATCGTTCATTCTTTACAATAGCTAACATGTTCATGTCACTTCATGTCTATTCCATTGTCTCATGTTCAGTTCATAATACTTTACACAATAATCTCTGTCGAAAAACATTGGCCAACTTTTGTTTGTTAGTAATAGTCAGGTTAGCCTATTGTTTAGTGTAAGTAAGCAAATAAGTAAATAAGTAAATAGTTTAAAGATATAACTAGTAATAAGTTGTAAAGTTAATATAAAAACATTGAGTGACGTGATTTCGCCGATGAGTTCGATTTGGAATCATTTTGAAAAAGTGCCGGGTAAACTTATTGCTAAGTGTTTACTGTCTTAGAGAGAATGTTCCTATAAGACCAGTGCAAAAGTGAAAATTCACCAATCACTACCTATACTCATTTTTGTATTTCTTTTTTTATCAAAATTACTATCTTTTTTAATTACTTCCCTTTTAGTATCTTTTGATCATTAGATATCTTTGTTTAAGCTTTGATGGCATTCCTCTGTAGCTATTAAAAGTTTAATCACTGTAAAAAAAATGTAATTTCTAAGAGGAGGGAGTCTATGCCCAACAGTTGACTATTAAATCTGTTGATGAACCGAAAAAAAAGCTCATTAAAATTACTGAAATAGAAGATTGTAGTATAAAAAATAAATATAAATATTCTATCAGTCAATATAACTTTTATAGTACAAGTCTACACGCTCTGCTCCTAGTTAAAAAAAAAGGTGGGATTTTTCACAGGTTAAATCACAGTGACTGAAATCGATAATCATCAACTGAATATGATTTAAAAGTAGCAATAATTCCCATGTCTAATGTAAGGGATGGTTACTAAGTCCTCAGACAAACAAGGTCCATATTTACAAAAGTTTCCCGAATAATAACACGTATTTTAAAGTTGGCAACACTTTTCTGACATCACATCATGTAAGTTGTCCGCACTCGATCGCACAGTTAACGATACGTCGCGACTCTTTGCGTTAGCCTCCTAATAATATCCAATTATTTAACATATATTAAAGGCAAAACCTGACTGAAACTACACACATAAACAGTGTAACAACTAACTGTACTCGGCAGTGCTACATATCTTTTAAATTCTCACGATTTTCAATCTCAAAGTGTAACAGTTGGTAAAATTCGGAACGGTTCGCACACTTCGCACGGAGACGCCGCGACGCGACCTCAAACACGCGCATAACGACAGTGGCGCCACCCGCGGCAGACGTTAAGAAGCACTTAGCCACTGAGTCGCCATGCATATTTGCCTTTCTGTTAACAGGTGGCGTTATATGTATTTACGTCTCGATAGGCCAACGAGCAGTTAAGTGCTCATAGCGTTAGTCTAATGGTTCGAAAAATTTGCGCTCACATAAAATTGATAAGCCAAAATGCAGATTGTACAAAAAAGAATTCTAGAAGATGTAAAGCCTCTACGCATCATACGCGAGGTGGAGAAATGGCCAGCGATATACGAGAAAGATAGTCCAGAAATGAGCAATCATCACTTCAGACATAAAGTTTGGGAAGAAGTAGCTAAAAACGTTTTTGAAAATTATCAAATTTACACAGCTGAAGAGAAAAAATCTAAAGGTGGGTTATATAACTCAATAATAACATTAAAGGTTTACAATCAAAATGATGTATAAAATTGTCTAAGTAAACAGTGCCGCAAATCTTGTATCTTTGACTTTTCTAAGACAGCGAAACTACACTGATTATTTTGGGTCGAAACAGACTACTTGACTATAAATAGGAAAAGCAAATCAATATTGTTTGTTCATGTAAATATAAACATGTATTATGTAGGCGACAAGGCGTAGTTGCTCTGAAGATACATACTAATGTTTTCCCCTGGTGAAGCGTGTTAAATTCAATTCAAATCGTTATTTAAAAATAAACATAAATAATCATACTTCGCCTTAAAGTGGTGATATTTACATCGACAGAAATTATATACATATATTTCTGTAGTGGCCTCTCTCAAAAGTTGTACTTTTGGCTAGTAAAGTTGCTTAAAGGGCATTGTTTTTTTGTTTCAGTAACCGATTTAATGAAGAAGTGGCGCAACCTTCGCGACACTTTCAAACGGCATTTAAAGCAGCAGAAGAACAACCGTGCCCAAGAGGGACCCAAAGACAGAAAGAAGGAGTACGTGTACTTCAAGCACATGTCGTTTTTGCTGCCGCACATGGACGGCGGCGGAGGTGGCGGCACTCGCGAGGCTAGAGCCGGGCGCCACTCGCCGCTGCGCCGCTCGCGCCCCACGACGCTCGACCGCAGCCGCCGTGACCGGTCCGTGGATGCGCTTTCGCCGTCTTCTTCTTCCTGTGCCATCGAGCACATCGATGCAGACAAACATTTCCTGCTCTCATTACTACCTTCCTTTAAAAGTATGAGTGAGAACGAAAAACTTACCGCCAAAATGGAGATTCTGAAGGTAATCAAAGACGTCAAGACCACGTCCGCGGCCCTCGAGACGGTGGTGGCCAACACCACCCCATGGCTAGCGCCGGCGGTCGCGCACTCAGATGAAGAGACGAACAAAGTCAAAAATGAACTGTTTACGGTGGAAGAGTTGGACTACGAGAGCCCTATTGACTCCGGTGGTGGGGACACAGAATGACCACTATTTAAAGATACTAGCGAAATGGAGATAGTTCTGGATTGGACACGTTTCTAATATATTTTATAAAAAAGTTCATCGATCTCATTTCCAAGTATCGTGATGAGTTTCAATTTTATTGGTGTTTAGTATAACTGATGAAACACATGCCCTACGCCCCGTGAGGCAGGTGGAGACATTGTTTATTGTGCTTGTGCGACATTATTTCTGTATATAGTTTTACTTAAGTGTAGTAAGTAAGTAAAAATAAGGAAATCTAGCAACTTACCTGAGAAATTAATTTCTTAAACCGACCGACCTTTATCAATGAAGAATTAAAAATTGTGAACGATGCTCTAACGAAGGATTTAGTATAATTTAGGATATTTTTATTGTGCAAACAATGTTTTTATTATTTATTATTTTTATGTAGTGTACTGGCAACCCGGCCGGCTTCGCACTAGTAGGAGGTAGCAGCCCAGTTTTTTATAATAATGTGTGTTTATATTAGATGATAGTAATATAACTTTGCTATATTTTAATACGTTTTTTTTGAGGAATAAAATCGTAATTAATCTTTTACGTTTACGTCCACGCCTGCATAGTACCAAAGTACTGTGAAAACCGTATGAAAATCCATTTCGTTCTTTTGCTTGAAATATCGCCTTCAAACGTACTCATATTATAAAGCTGAAAAGTTGTTTGTGTGACACGCTACGACCTATAAGATATTGCAAAAACGAGGAAACATGATTCCTTTCGAGAGGCAGACATAGTTGCGCGGCTCAGCTAGTGTACATTCATTTTATTTATCTACACGTATCTACGTCACGTACACAAATGAGGAGGCGAGTCTGTCCTGTTGCTCTAGTGGTTAGTGACTCTGACTGCTAAGACAGAAGTCGTGGGTTCGATGCCACCCGGGTCAAATATTTGTGTGATGATCAAGATCGTTAATTGGTTTGGTATCTGGGTGTAATTTATGTGTAATATATATGTATTATAAATATATAAGTATGTATATCAGCAGTCTGGTTACCATAGTACAGGCTCTGCCTAGTTTGGTATCTGACGGCCGTGTGTAAGATGTGTGAAGTCATCATTTTAAATGTAGTCTAGCTGATGAACATTATTACATTCAGCACCCAGTACAGACAGTCGTAGATTCAACCTTTCCAAAAGAAAAGTTGCCGCGGTTACTACTAAAAAACATTGATTGTGGCTTAAAAAATAGTCCTCCAGATAGTGCTACCATCTCTTAGCGGGTGCCTCTGAATACCAGCTTCGGCCTTTCAACTCTGTTCAATGCCGTAATGTGGGAGTCATCCAAAACTCACAAGCAATATTAAACCTTCAAGTTTAAGGACAGATCTTGCCACCTTGTGTGTGTTCTATCGCTGACACAGTAGGTTCCCTCCGAAGAACTCTTTGACATGATACCTGAGACCTCACCGGCGCTAAGAACTTGTGGTGCATGACACGATTTCAGAGGAATTGCCTCACGCAAACACTCGGCTTTAATGATGAGGACCCTGCCGAGGCTTTCCTTGCGACTTACAGTATCGGGTTCTTCAAATAAAGTTCTTCAAATGCACCCGGTTCATGGAATTTCAAGCATCTACATCATTTACGGTACCCGTTTTCCGTTTAAGGTTTTAGCCAGCGGGACGTGAACTTGTTTGCCACTGACACGGTATAAAAAAAAAACAGTCTTAACAAATTACATAATTTTATTTAACCCGATTTTATTTGACTTAGATACGAGTACGTTCTAAAGTTTTCGGTCACGCATTGAAAGGGTTGACAAAATATTGGTGATATCGCTACAACACGGAACAGGTGGATGTCGGGGCGTACATTCACCTGTTTGGGGAAGCGAAGAGGGCGCGGGGATTGTGTAAATAGGTGACCTGAATACAAGACAACAAGCAGCCGTGACGGCGACGCCTGAAACCCGACCCCGCGCTCGCACACTGCCACTAGTCGCTGTCGTCGCTACCGGGTGACAACGGGCCCCGGACCAACCGGTCCACATTGTTCGCACCAGAACCAATACCCGTTGTACCTGAATACCTAACATTTAGCAACTTTAACTAAACTAACGATCTATCAGCACAGCGTAAGTGTCCACATTGAACAATAAGTAAAATAACGTTATTTGCATGCTAATCAACAGAATCATATCGAATTGGTAACGATGCCATCCGCCAACCCGATAGAAGCTTGTCGCCGATATGTAAAATATTGTTAAGATAATGATTACTAAGTGAAGACCTAATCAAAATAATATCACGAACTACAAATTTTACTCTCGCACTGTTATGTGTTATCTGTTCGCGAACAGTATCTGTATCCGGTTTCGTATTGACTAGACAAATTCATACGCACATACACACAGATATACTGTATCCTGAATGCCCGATATTTAGTTAAGGTAATCACTTCTTTCCTTATATTTATTGAACTGATTTGAACGTGCTTACGGAAGATTGTTTTTAAAGACAACACCCGCAATAGGAATACGAGTATATCCTGTGTCGCGGGGAACTTTACAAACATACATGTAACGGAAGCAAAGAACACCCAGACTCAGAACAAGAATTTGTGGATCACACAAAGTATTGTCGCATGCGGGGATTGAACCCATAACACTCAGCACCGTAGGAAGCGGCGAGGTTACCGCCTAAACCACTACGCCATCCGTGCGATCATGTCAATATGCTCTCCTCTTCTCACTCTTAATTTTTTGCGTGAAGGGAACCCATCAATCGGTACAACTTGATTTTGCATATGTGATTTTCCTTCTTGTATATGACAATATTTAAAAAAAAACCGGTCACGTGCGATTCGAACTCGTGCGCCGAGGGTTCCGTACCTACCCAGATTTTACGTAGATTTTCGAGAAAATTTGTTAGTACCAAAATCTATCTTAATTTTCAACTTTTTTATTTTTTGGAATATTTCCTTTATTTGTGCTGTAAGACGTTTCTTTTTGCCAAATTTCGTAATTCTAGGTCAACGGGAACTAACATATAGGTTTTCGACCCAAAAGGGTACTTCCAGTTGACCTAGAATTGTCAATATTGGTTAAAAGTAGACTTGCAACGAATATTCGGTTACTATTCGGTATTCGGCCTGTAAAGAATTAGCACGGATTCCGGAAATAAAACAGCAAATATATGGACTGAGCGTGTACTGCCTTGTAAAAAGCTCCAGAGTCGTAGTGCAAGTGAACATTTTAAATCAAACTTAAAGCTACCGACTATATTGGTGACACAGATGACAGGCAACGTTTAATTGCTAGATGTATTGCGGTGCGTTTACCATTGGGCGCCTGAACATACCCCCGGACGTTGAAAGGTGCCCTTTCAACCACCAGTGGAACACACGGGCAACGGGCAGATCCGATTAAAAGCCCTTCGAATGACGCCCACAGACGTCCGGATATCGGCAACGCGAACAACCCCATCCTCTCCAGCATGCACAGCCACGATTCTCCCCAAACGCCACTTCAGAGGGGGCATGTTGTCCTCCTTGACGACCACCAAAGTACCCAGCTTCAATTCATCCTTGCAGGAACGCCATTTCGTTCTCTGTTGCAGCTCAGCGACATACTCCTTGCTCCACCTAGTCCAAAAATGTTGGCGGAGCTGTTCAATTCGCTGATAACGAGTCAGGTGGTTCACGGATTGGTGCTGATATTCCGATTGAGGTATTGATGTTAATGGACGACCCACTAGGAAATGTCCCGGAGTGAGCGGTGTACAGTCGGCAGGATCAGATGACAGCGGCGTTAATGGGCGAGAATTTAAGACCGCCTCGATTTGGGTCAACGTGGTGTTAAGTTCTTCGTAGGTTAAGTGACAGTTTCCCAACACTCGCTGTAGATGATATTTCGTCGACTTAACCCCCGCTTCCCAGAGTCCGCCAAAGTGTGGCGCATATGCAGGAATAAAATGAAAATTAACCCCATCATTTGCCACCCTCTCTGCCATAGACTCACAGTTTGTTTTCAAAAATTTCGAAAGGTCGTTGTACGCACCCACGAATGATGTACCGTTGTCGGAATAAATGTTGACCGGTTTACCTCTCCGCGAAATGAACCGATTTAAGGCCAGTAAATACTTTTGGCTGGATAAGTCACCCACTAGCTCTAAATGAATAGCCTTTGTGGCGAAACAAACAAATATAGCTATATACACTTTTACTAACCTACATCCGCGCCCTTGTCGGCTAGCACATAAGATCGGACCAGCATAATCTACGCCACAGGTTTCAAAAGGATGCCCGCCTGGAAGGAGCCGCTGCTGCGGTAGGTTGCCCATTATGGGAGTAACAACACTCCCCTTTATACGACGACATCTGATACATTTATGGAAGCAAGCCCTCGCTAAGTTTCGGCCACCCAACGGCCAATATGTCTCTCTAATCGATGACAACAGTAAGTGGGGGCCAGCATGCATCAATCGCCTGTGTTCGAACTCAAACAATAACTTTGTAAATGCATGGCTAGACTGTAACAGAATAGGGTGTTTTTTGTCGTAAGAGAAAAGGGAGTTATCTAAGCGCCCCCCGACACGAAGAATGTCATTGTGGTCTAAATAAACGTTTAATTTTAACAGAGTGCTTTTTGGAGGGATATTTTGTTTTTTAATTAATAAACTGTACTCGGGAATTGATTGCATTTGAGACTTAGTGATTAAAACATTTAAAGCAGTTTGTAACTCGTCTTGTGTCAAAATTCCACCACATGCCCGCCGTTTCCTACAAAGTGTAATGAACCGGAGTACATAAGCCATGCAGCGCACAAGTCTTGAATAATTAGAAAATCTCTCAAACTCTATCAGTGTATTAGAAATATGATTGGTGACAACAGTGCTCAATGAAACATGAGATCGAGTTTCGGGTAATGACTCTGTTTCCGAGTAGCAGAGTGGAGACGGCCATTTAACCTGGTCCAGCTTTAGGAAGTCGGGACCACTCCACCATAAAGGTAAGCCCTGCAGGGTGCCAATATCGAC